AAATCTTGCTCTTTGACCTCCGGATGCTGGCTCAGCACCGAGGGAGGGCACTTGAAAACTGCTCCCGGAGTGGGCACTCCAAAATCGTATAGGCGCATCGTGCGATGTCCGGTGGGAAGCCGACGCATGTCCGCCTTTACCCCCAGACGCTTGAGTTCGATCTGGTTGGTGCCTAAGTCGATTCTTGCCCCTAGCATCTCCTGAAAACCTACTGGGAGGAGGGGTGGCACGTCCTCTTTGAAGACGTCCAACTCGATGACCCCCATCTTCCCTCGAATGCCCGTGGGGATCAGGGCCGCGCTCAAAACCGCGGCGCCTCCCCCGATTCCGCGAGCCGAGCGATTCCGGGGGGGCACCTGGGGCACTCGCAAACCTCTCTTGCTCAGAAGCTCGCAGTGCCGTTTCAAAGCTGGCATGCCGATCAGTCCTTGACCCGCTGCAGCGTCTACGATCATCTCGCCGGGCTCGACGCTCATGAGGGCGACGGTGGCGCTATCGACGCCCGGGTCGTGGTGCTGGGTCGGGTCGAGGATGTTCGCATAGACGTAGGCGCTGACATTCGCGGCGGCAGCTGCGGCTGCACTCTGGCCATTCCGCGCCGGACACTCATGTGACCAATGGCCCTTCTGATTGCAATTGCGGCACCTCGTTCTCTTAATCAGCTCCGACAGTAGAAGACGTGACTTCCTTGGCCTGACCTGCCCATTGGCGGCGCGGCACCCGCGCGGCTGCCTGTGGGCAGGCTCTGGCTTGTCCTTGCTGCGGTCGAAGAACTTGCGGTCGACCTTCATATTGCGCTTGAGGTCCCTGTTCTGCTTCCACGTTTTGCGTCTCTCGCCCTGCATCGTCGCGAACGCCTGTGGAAGCTCATCGTCGTACAGTCCAAGGCCCTCCAGCGTCACGTAGACCTGCTGCTCGCCGTCGGTATCTAACGATGGGACGTCGTCGCCCTCCAGGGTGGAGTCGAGATCAAGATCGTCCGTCTGCACGGAGTATGTGGGCTCATCCTTGGGGAAACCATTTTCTGCCACGAACGATCTCTTTTGAAATTATAGATGCTCTCGACGGGTGACATCCATCTCCCGAATTGCGGCGAGGGCCTCCGAGTAGGAGTCCCGGGTCTTCATCATGACCCTCATCAACTGTCGGCCTCTCTCGTCGAGACCAACGCCTTCCTCTAAGAACATGAACTTCCAGTCCTCTGGCGCTGGAAGGCCCAAAGTTGCCACCTTGTCGAATGCCAGTTCGATCCGGGCGGCGTACTCGGTAAGCCCCTCTCCTTGGCAACGCCTGAAGGAGAAGAGGCACTCCCTCCCGGCCTTCCTCTCCTCGTCATCCACCTCCTCGCCTGACAAGAGGTCCGGTCGCTCTATGATGTTGTCGGCGGCGTTGTTGGAGGTGAGGACCTCGTCCGACTAATCATCCATTTTCCTCTGAAGGCCGAGAAGAAGTACTTCGAGGATTCGATCTGCATGCTTGTGTGCAGGAACGTCCGTGAGCTGCCGCCATCGTACTAGCTGGCGTCTCCATAGCTTATACTCGTTCCAGCTGCTCCAGGCGTCTGGGCCAGCGAAGTCCTTGCCCCGCTCGCTCCAGCCGCCCCAGTCCTTCCAGGCGGAGTCCCCCTTCCAGCCGTCGTTCCAGCCGGACTTCCACCAGCTGTTCGGGTCGGCGTTGTCCTCGACACCATCTGAGGCGCCTCGCTCTCCGGCACGTCTCCGGCTCCAGGGGTCCTCGCGCTGCCACGGGTCGGCGTCCTGATCTGGTGCTGTTCCACTGGCCCGTCCCTCGCCTGCTGCGTCGGTTGCACGACCTGCTCGGCTGGACTCTTGGACCTGGTCTCGCACCATCTTGATCACCTGCTGCAGCTGCTGTTGCGACAGTCCCGTGGCTGGGTCCGGCCGTGCGGGTGGCGGCGCCTCTGGTGGCGCTGGCCTCGTCGCTGTCACAACTCCATCTAGCAGCGTTCTGAGCTGCTCTTCCGAGAGGCGGAACTGGCCATCCTCATCTGCCCAGTGTCTTGCTGTTCCCAAGGCTGCCACGATAGATCCTTGGCCTGCCGAGACTGAGCTGTGAGGCGAATTAACACCCTGCTCCTGGGACGTCGTCGGGTCCGCAGAACCGAGCCTCCTCAGAGGCTCCGCTACCACTGTCTCCCCACCGACGTTGTCTCTGGATGACAAGGTGTCTCCCCTGCTTTTCCTTCAGCACGTTCTCGGTCCCAGTGCGATCTTTGATCGCGCAGCACGCACACACACTTGCCCTCGTAAGAGTGGAGAAAGGGAGGTATGGGTCTCGGGATGGATTGGATTGTGAGTGACTGAGGATAAACAACAAGTGGGTAGAAAAAGTATGGCCTTGAGCCAAAAAAGGTTACGGAGGGGGCCCAGTTCCCGATTATATGGTTCAAGTCCAGGGGGTAGGGCGAGGGCTACTCTCCTCACCCGATCAATGAGCTAGAGGCGCTCATTCCCACAATATCGAGTAACTGCGAGGAGGGGGAGAGGGAGGAGGAGGAGGGGGCGGAGAAGGAGGGCGAGGGACGGGGGAGGAAGGGGGAGGAGGGGGAGGAGGAGGAGGAGGAGGAGGAGGAGGAGGAGGAGGAGGAGGAGGAGGATGGGGGAGGGCGAGGGAGGTCTGCTGGGCGGTCATGGCCCAGGCGGGAGTGGGGCGCCGCTCCCCCGCCTGCCGCCGACGAGGGAGCGACGGGGAGGGGGGCATCCCTGTCCCGACCGTGACGGGGCCTGTGGAGGCCCCGGAAAAGGCGAACCGCATCACAAATTCTTGGTCCTGGATATCAAGGCTAATCTGGCTCAGTGGTCCCGTAATCGGGCTTCATATCCCAACATCTATCTTACGAAGACATCCCAGACGTTGCCTCCTAGTCCTCCCCGTCCCCCTCCCCCATCGGTGCACCCTTCACTCCCGCTCCCCCATCCGCGGGCCTCCAGGAAAAAAGGGGGGATGAGGGCAGGGCAAGGGGGGGAGGGCAGGGGGGAGGGGAGGGGGGCAAGGTAGGTGCGCTCGCGACATCTGACGTCCTACCCCTCCCTCCCACCCCTTACCATGGAGTCGATATCCTCTCTCTTCGCACAATCTGATGTCGCAGCATGGCATAGCATTAAATGACATAGCATGGTGTTGAAGATCAACGCGTAGCATTACATAGCATGGCGTGGCGACGCCTCAGTGGGGGGGGGCTTGCCCGGCCCGAAAAATCAAACGAATCGAAACCGAACGTGCAATCACTTCCGATGAGGACCGAAAACCATACCGTGTCATGAAACTAGAAATAATAACGCCAGCGCTGCAGCGGGAGCACGATCTGGAACGAGCGGAAGCGCGGAAAAGAGTCCAGCGCTGCAGCGGGAGCACGAATCGGAACGAGCGGAAGCGCGGAAATGAGGACAGCGATGCAGCGAGCGGAAGCCCGAAAATGACGCCAGCGCTTCAGCGGGAGCACCATTTTGAAACAACGACAACAAAAACGAAAATCCAACTCCCAGGAATTCTGTGCGTAGGAAAACCATACGCGGAGGGGGGCTGGACATCTTCCAGGCGTTATCAGGGGAGAGAGAAAAGTAGTATTCGTATTGTGAAACTGTGACAGGCAACGACGAAGGGACAAAGAAAGGCAAGCAAGCAAGACTTCAAATACACATGTCCCTACAAAGGCGGCCATCAACCAGAAACGACAGCGGCCAACACACATGAAGTCCACCCCTTTCCCATTCGTGTTCACCCTGCCCCTCTTCCCTGCTTGCTGCTCCCTCTTCCTCCTCCTCCTCCTCTTCCTCCTCCTCTGCATCATCAACACGTCATGCCCATATAGGTATGTACACGATAATTCCGTATCATCCGCATCAACAACATCATCCTTATCAGCATCGTCAGCATCAGCATCAGCATCAGCATTCTCGTCATCGTCGTCGTCATCATCGTCGACGTTATCATCAACAACATGGACATCACCGTAGCCGGTTGTCGGAATCAGTATCATCATCATCATCACCACCACCACCACCATCAGCGTCAGCATCATCGTAAGCATCGTGATCGTCATCGTAATCGCCATCATCATGAATAGCAGCATCATCGCGAGAATCAGCATCATCATCATCAGCAGCATCATCATCGTCAGTTTGGCCATCACAGCATCGTCATCCGCATCATTTTAATTGTCAGATTCAGCATCACCATCACCATCATCAACAACGTCGCAATCATCACCGTCGTCGTCGTCATCGTTGTCGGCATCATCCTCATCACCGTCATCATCATCGTCAGCAGCAGCAGCATCAGCATTACCATCATACTCATCACCACCACCATCAACTTCATCATCGTCGTCAACGACATCGACATCACCATCACCATCATCATCACCAACATCAGCATCAGCATCATCGCCATCATCTCCATATTCAGCGTCGTTGCCAGCAGCAGCATCATCAGCAGAAGCAGCATCAGCAGCTACAGCATCAGCAGCATCGTCAGCAGCATCAGCATCAGCTTCACCACCACCATCAGCATCCCCTCCCCCTCCCTACTCCCCCTCCTCGTCACCACACTCATCATGAGTCCTCCTCGTGAGCTGGCACCTGGGTCGGTAAGCCGCTCGATCGCCACCCTCTGAGCTCGTCCAGCAGCACGCGGAAGAAGCTCAGCCCTCCTCCCGAGCAGGGACCGACCGTCCCGGCATTCCTGTAGGCCTACCACGACATGTTCTGAGAGACCATGACTGTTCGAAGAGCAAAAACAGTGCTCTGAGAACATAAACCCGATGTGTCAAAAGAAGACAGTCTCAACCAGAAATGGTCTAAGAGCATGTCGCGCAGACCACAAAAGGTTTTTAGAACATTCTTTGGTGGGCTTACAGGGAAGCCAGGACGCTTCGCCACTGCTTGATCCTCGTCCAACTCCTCAAACCCTCTAAACACATCCCCGAACGCGAAGCGAGTATCATCGCAGCCGCCGCCGACGGAGCCGGTCGGGCCGGCCTCATCAGAGGGCAGCAGACCCCGCAAGATGAGCTTCAGCGAGCCCTGCGGCGGCGTTGTCGTCGCCGTCGTCGGGCGGAGGGAGGGAGAGAAGGGAGAGTGGGACGGAGAGAGGGGAGGAGGGAGGGGAATAGAGAGCGAGGGAGAGAAGGGGGGGGAGGAAGGGAGAGGGAACGGGGAGGACAAGCTAGGTGCGCTCGCGCCAGATCTGGCATTCCAATCCCGTCCAATTGCGCGGTCTTGTTCTACATATATATATATATATGTATATATATAAAAATAACAAACATATATATGTATATATGTACATATGTGTGTACATAAGTATATATTGTGTAGATATTGATATGTATATATATATATGTATATATGTGTGTCCGCCGACTGGTATCATAGCGGATCTGAACCCCTGCGTACATTGGAGGAGAAAGTGGCAGATGAGCAGGAAAATGAGCAGGACGACGAGGAAGAGGATGAGGAAGGAGGAGGAAAAGAAAAGGTGGGAAAGGGGAGGGAAGAGGAAGGGAAGGGCGAGGGTCTCCGTGGTCGGAGGGGGAGGAGGGGAGGAGAGGGGAGGAGAGGTCGCGAGGGGAGGGGAGGTCGCGAAGGGACGGGAGGGTAAGGAGGGAAAGCGAGAGGGCAGGGGCAACTGAGGCCATCGTGGCATGATATTGGCACGAAGGCTACGCAAGCCAAGCGCGCGGCTTACGCTCCTGCATGGCGCCATCCTCATCATCATTATCCTCATCATCATCATCATCATCATCATCATCATCGTCGTCGTCGTCGTCGTCATCATCATCATCATCATCATCATCATCGTCGTCATCATCATCACCCACATCATCCACATCATCATCGACGTCATGGTCAACACCATCATCATCATCAGCATCATCATCACCATCATCGGCAGCATTATCATCATCATCATCACCACCATCAGGATCATCACCACCATCAACACCATCATCCTCAGCACCATCAGCATCATCATCATCATCATCATCATCATCAGCATCATCATCATCATCATCATCATAATCCGCATCATCATCAACACAACCATCACAATCACGATCACCATCACCGTCATCATCATCATCGTCATCACCATCATCGTCGTCATCATCAGCAGCATCATCATCGCCATTACTCTCAGCATAATCATCATCATCAGCAACAACATCAGTATCATCACCATGATCATCATACTTATCACGATCATCATCATCATCATCATCATCATCATCACCATCACCATCACCATCATCAGCATCATCATCATCACCAGCAGCATCATCACCATGATCCGTCGCATCCTCATCATCACTATCGTCACAATCATAATATTCATCATCATCAACAACATCACCATCATCATCATCAGTATCATCCTCATCGTCATCATCAACACCACCAGCACCATTATCATCATCATAATACTCACCCGCACCACCAGTATCATCATCATCATCATCATCATCATCATCATCATCATCGTCATCGGCATCGTCATTGTCATCGTCAAAATCATCACCACCACCATCACCATCATCACCATCATCATCGTCACCATCATCATCACCACCATCATCATCATCATCCTTATCCTCATCATCATCATCAGCATCAGCACCAGCATCGATACCATCATCACCATCACCATCACCATCACCATCATCATCATCATCATCATCATCATCATCATCATCGTCAACGTCCTCGTCCTACTCAGCATAATCAGTATCATCACCACCACATCCACCATCACCATAATCACCGTCACCATCACCATCACCAGTACCGTCATCATCATCATCATCATCATCATCATCATCATCATCATCACCATCATCATCATCATCATTATCATCATCATCATCATCATCATCGTCGTCGTCATCATCATCATCAGAATCATCATCATCATCATCACCAGTACCATCATCATAACCACCACAATCGTCATCATCGCCATCACCATCATCGGCATCGTCATCGTCATCAGCATCGTCATCACTATGATCATCCTCATTAGCATCATCAACCTCATCCTCCTCATCATAATCCTTATCATCAGCACCATCAGCAGCATCAGCATCATCGTAATCATCAGTATCATCCTCATCCTCATCATCATCATAATCATCATCATCGTCATCATCACCATCAGCATCATCATCCTCATCCGCATCCTCATCCTCATCGTCATCATCCTCATCATCATCAGCATCATCATCTCGTCGTCGTTGTCATCATCACCATCATCATCAACAGCCAAATCATCATTCTGCTACCCAGCAACTTCCTCACCACCATCATAATGATACGACTATCATACTAGTAATCATCGTTCCCATCCCCTCTCCCACCGACCCTCGGTGCAGTCAGAAGGGTCCGAGCCCCAGGAGTGCGCAGGAGGAGGAGAAGAGAAAGAGCGGAGGGAGGGAGAAAGGGAGGGAGGGAAGGGAAGATGATGGGGGAACGGAGAGGGAGGAGGAGGGCCGTCACCCCTCCGGCCTAGCGAGGCCCGGCGCGGTCGGATGGCCAAGGCAGGGGTGCGCAGATCGCTGGCCTGGCTCTCAGACCAGAGCCAAGCGCGGAGGAGCTGCTTTCCAGGTTTCATGTGCAGCTGCTCCAGCTGCCGGCGAAGCACGCGGATGAGGCCCCCGAGGGCATAGCCAGCGCAGCTCGCCATCCGAAGAAGAACGGCAAGCTCAGCAGAGGCCTCTGCAAGAGGATCGTCGGGGTGGACGAAGCGTACCACTGACCCGTCACATCACGGCGAAGAGCGTTGCGGACCAGGGCATCACGTCGGGTGCAAAGTTCAACAAGTTTCAAGATCGTATCCTAGAGTTCTTGAGGAAAGCCTTTGACTCGAAGGCTGTCACCAGCGACGGCAGCAAGGAGCAAGACGACGCCAACAAGTACAGCCTGCAGCTCACGCACAGCGACATGGGCAACTCTCAAGATTCGGCGGCTACTCCACCCGGTCGTATGGAGTACACGGAGCCCCGGAAGCATGACTGCAACCACTGAGGTCCCCAACCTAATAAAAACCAGGATGGATGCCTTGGAGGATACGTTAGAAATAATCGCGATCTGGGTGCGAGGGGCAACGTTGGGGGGGGGAGCCAGCTCACGGGAGGGAAACATCGAGCTGGCATCGGCGACACCGCGCCGAGAGGTCGGCGATGGACCCCCGACAGCGGCGCCGCACGATCCTGGGCGGGGCAGCATGGCAGGCCCCCGTCGGCGAAGAGTGGGCCAGCGGGGGTGGATGCATCCCCTCCCCCCCTGAGCCTCTCTCCCCCTTCACGCTGCCCCGGACGCTGGTGCGTCGCGACGAGGACGGTGCTCAGCACGGCAACGACCCGCGGAGGCTGCTGCAGGAACTCGCCGAGCTGCGGAGGAGTGAAGGGGCCCTGGGAGACGCAAATAAGTACACACAAGTAAAAAGATTCCCCATGTTTTCAATTATTTTCTAGGTTTTTGTCTTCCCCCCCACTTCCCATATTTTCCCATATTTTCTGGGGAATCGACGATTAATTGTGTCTGTGAGTTTCTTCCCCTCCTGAAGGAGGGGCCACCCAGGGACCCAGAACGCACCGCGAGCGGGGCCCGGCGGTCGAGCAGGTCGAGCGCGACCCGGAGCAGCAGCGGGGCGGTGCCGAAAAGATCGGGGGCGCGCAGACACGGATCGGGGGAGGTGCCCTCCCCAAAAGGCGGCCGGTGCCGCCTCGCTCGGCGGCGGAAATCCGCGACTCCCCATGGAAGCGGGACCCGTCGCTGATCCACGCCCCCTTGATCCACGTCTGCGATCGCCTGAGAGGAGAGGGTCGAGGCCCTCGTCGAAGTGGTCGACCAGCTCGCGCGACGATCTGCAGCCGGCGTGCCACCACGAGGATGAAGGGGCCCTGGGACACACACACACACACACACAAAGAACAGGAGTCTCCATGTTTTCTTATGTTTCCTGGGTGCTTGTGTCTGCCCCCCACTTCCCATATTTTCCCCTATCTCCTGAGAGTCGACGATGAATTGTGTCTGTGTTTGCTTCTTCTTGAACTGACTACCTACCAGACCACCCCAACCCAACCCGAAGACCCGAATTTGACCCGAATTTCGGGTTGGGGGGGTATGGGTTCCATGTGTTTTTTCAATGTTCCCCGACCCCCCCCCCCCACTGGGAAATCGAGGATAAATTTGGGCCTCCGGGTTGGGTTGGGGTGGTTTGGTGGGTGGTGATGAACGGAGCGCGGACGGGGGAGCGAAGGGGCCTCCCTGGCCTGGCCGCGGCGAGCCTCGGCCTCGAGCAGGTCCCCCGACTACACGTCCCAAGGAGCGAGCGGCCCGGCGCCGGGCGGGGCCCCCCGCCCGAGGCGGAGCGGCCCTTTTGCGTCGGCAGCTCGGCTGCACGCCCGCGGGACAGCGGCAGCCTCTGCGAGGAGGAGGAGGAGGAGGAGGAGGAGGAGGAGGAGGAGGAGGAGGAGGAGGAGGAGTGGGAGGAGGGGGAGGAGGGGGAAGAGAGGGAAGAGGAGGAGGAGGAGGAGGAAGAGAAGGAGGAGGGGGAGGAGCGGCAGCGGCGGCTGGGCGGCGCCGAAGCCCCGGCCGGCAGGGTGGCCACAGTGCACCGACGACCGCCCAGTGCGGCAGCGACGGCAGCAGGCGTGCCACCTGCCTCCCCATGGGGGCCCACGCCCTGGGAGGGCAGGGACCCGCTCGTTTCCTCCTCCACCCCTCTCCCCTCCCCTTCTTCCCCCACCTCTTCCCTCCACACTCCTCCTCCTCCCCTCCTCCTCCATCCTCCTCCGCCTCCTCCTCCTCCTCCTCCTACCTCTCCTCCTCCTCCTCCTCCTCCCCTCCTCCTCCTCCTCCGCCTCCTCCTCCTCCTCCTCCTCCGCCTCCTCCTCCTCCTCCTCCTCCTCCTCCTCCTCCCCTCTCCTCTTCCCTCCTCCTCCTCCTCCTCCTCCGCTTCCTCCTCCTCCTCCTCCTCATCCTCCTCTCCTCCTCCATCCTCCTCATCATCATCATCATCATCATCATCATCATCATCATCATCATCATCATCATCATCATCATCATCATCATCACATCATCATCATCATCATCATCATCATCATCTCATCATCATCACATCATCATCATCATCATCATCATCCATCATCATCATCATCATCATCATCATCATCATCATCAATCACATCATCATCATCATCATCATCATCATCACCACCACCACCACCACCACCACCATCATCATCATCATCATCATCATCATCAGCATCAGCATCACCATCATCATCATAATCCGCATCATCATCATCATCATCATCATCATCATCATCATCATCACCATCATCATCATCATGATCATCATCAACATCATCATCAGCACCATCATCAGCATCATCAACATGACCATCACCATCACCAGCACCAACACCAGCATCATCACCATCAGCATCATCATCATCATTCTCATCCTCATCCTCATCCTCATCAGCATCATCAGCATCATCAGCATCATCATCATCAGCATCAGCATCATCATCATCGTCGTCATCATCATCATCATCAGCAGCAGCATCATCATCAGCAGCATCAGCATCAGCATCAGCATCATCATCACCAGCACCAGCACCAGCACCATCATCATCATCATCATCATCATCATCATCATCATCATCGTCATCATCATCATCACCACCACCACAATCATCATCATCATCATCAGCAGTATCAGCATCATCATCATCATCATCATCATCAACATCATCATCATCATCATCAGCATCATCATCATCATTCACTATCAACATCGCCATCACCATCACCATCACCAGCACCCATCAGTATCATCAACATGTTCATCAATATCATTATCATCATCATGCTCAGCAGCATCAGCATCAGCATCATCAGCATAATCATCAGCATCATCAGCATAATGATCAGTATCATTATCATCATCATTATCATCACCATCATCATCATCATCACCACCATCAGTCATCATCACCATCATCATCATCAGCATCATCATCTCAGGGAGACGTAAGACTCGGGTTGGGGCGACTCGGGTTGGCCCGACGGGGCCATCATCAAAATGATGCAACCCAACCTGAAATTTGACGCAGGCACCCGCTGCAGGCATCCCACGAAAACTGGACCGTCAAAATCCAGGACGCGCTCGTCAAAAAGCGTCGGCAAACCCGAGTTCTGGCGTGCTCGAGTCTCACGCTTCCCCGATCATCCCGCCGGTATCGCCGTCGTCGCTTCATGTCGTCGTCGCGGTCGTGGTCGCCGCTGGCGTCGTTGGCGTCGTCGGAGTGGTCGTCTCGTCGCCGTCGCCGTCGAGGGGCGGTCCCCGGGGTTCGCCTCGAGCCTGCGGCCCCCCGCGGAGGTGGCGCCTGAGGCCGTGGGCGCCTGGAGTAGGAGGAGTAGGAGGAGGAGGAGGAGGAGGAGGAGGAGGGGGATCGAGGATCGAGAAACAAAGATGGAGGGTCGAGGATCGAGGAGGAGGATCGAGGATCGAGGATCCTCGAACATCCATCCTCCATCCTGATCCAGATCCTCCATCCTCACGGGCACTCCCGAGGGGGCACCAGAAGCCAGGATCAGAAGCTGCTGTGGCAACTCATGGGGGCCTCCTATATCACCTTGTTGGCCCTTGCAAACCGACGCTAAATCGACACGAAATCGACGCTGATCGACACCAATCGAGACGAATCGACGCTGAATCGGCGCGATATCATCGATCATTAGGCGCTAAACGACGCTAGTGCACGCTAAAGACAGAATTGCGAGGGTACTCAAAGCTCCCATGATTTGCTACCGAATCAGAAGCCTGCCAGGTCACGTGCTGGGCCTCCTTCCCTCCTCCACCTCCCCGACCACGGCGACGGCGACGGCGATGGCAACGGCGACGGCGACTGCGACGGCAGCGGCGGCGGCGACGACGACGGCGGCGGCGGCGGCGGAGACAACGACGGCGACGACGACGAACCGACCGACCGACCAACCGACCGGCGAAGGACGACGAACGACCGACGAGCAACGACCGACGACCGACGACGGAAGACGGACGACAGAGGACCGACGACCGACGACCGACGACCGACGACCAACGATCGGAGGGCACCAACTATACACCTGCGCCGGTTGCACACCTGCACAGATCATGGCTAGGCCGATCTTGGCCAAGGATCCGTGTCTACGCCTTCCTGCCAAAGCCAAGAGGGCGCATGCACCGATCTAGTGCCCAGGATGAGCCTGGTCATGACCAACGCACTCAGGCGTTTAGTTGGAATCCTCCGAGACGACGGACACCGACGGCGCCGAGGCCGACACCCAGCGAGGGCTGGGCGGCCTCGGCGATATTTCCCATGTACGACTCGCCGACCAGCCGCAGCTCGAGGGGGAACTCCCGCGAGGCGTCGCAGGGGTTCCGGCTCACAAGCAGCGAGGCCTCGCGCCCGGAATACGACGACACGC